TGGGTTTTAGGGTTTCCAGACTCATGTCATACTACATGAAGTTTTGTAAAGGCCCCCCTGGTCCCTTCCTTCAGCTGGAATCGTGAGTCTGGAAGGACAACCAGATTGTGAGCCAGATCTGCCTGGGGCAGTGCCACCTAATCTGGACCAAAGATGGTACAGTCCAGTCCAGAATCTGGAAACCCTAAAACCTAATGCTATTCCACCCACTTTCAATCTCCAGAAGGATATCATGATTGATATTATCAAAAGCTGCCAAGAAATTAAGTACAATGGATGGATTACCCAATCTTGCTCCCACTAGAGATCATCCTTAAGTGCAACCGGTACTGTTCCTATCCCATGTATAAATCTGAATCCTGACTGAAAAGGGTTTAGATAATCTGTTTCATCCAGATCTACTAAGGTACCCCACAACCACCTTCTACACAAACTTCCTCAAAAAGGGAGGTTGAACATTGAATGAAAACTGCCCAGTATGGTAGGATCCAGAATGGCTTCTTGAGAAGGAGGTGAATCAATGGCTCCATGAGAGACAAAGAAACCATCCCCTTTCCCAAGGATGAATTAACCACCAGGAGCATCCAGTCACAGGTCCTTTTCCAGGCAGCCTTAGTCAGCCAAGAGGGGCATGGATTTAAGGAGGAGAAGCTCACAATCATAAGGGCACTGTCCACTTCTTCATATACAACAGTTTTAAATTATTCTCAGATAACAGGGCAAGCCTATGCAATTCTACTGGACCTGTACCAAAGCTGACATCCAACTGAGGATGAATTTGAGTGGTTTTTGTCTGAGAGATGCCCCAAATATTCTTCTGCTTATCCTTGAAAATGAATTTCTGGGTTCCCCTTACCCAAAAGGGCTCGGATCACCCAAAACATTTTTTCGAGAACAAAGAATGATATACAAGATTATTAAATCACCTGAATTTTCACCCATTAATATTTCAAGCTGTTTTAGGAGACAAGATTCATTATACAGTTTTTTTTTCCTCTGGCAATTGTGCAGAGCTTCCTTCGATGACATGATTTTACTTCCTGCTATATAATGTT